TATGTATGATCTCGTTGAAACATTTCCACATTAGTCTTGGTTTGTTTTTCAGTTCATTTAATCGCTTAGAGTTGTGATTTTTTCGTAGTTGGTTGCTTTTAGAGCGAACTAACGAAGCGTATTGTCGATACTTTTGTTTTGCATAAACATTTGTGGGGTATTTTTTTTTTAGTTTGTTGTAGCGATTACGTTCATTAATTAGTTCGATGAGGCCCACATTCACCCATGGTTTGTATGGATTCTGAACAGTAGTTTTGGTAAATGATACCGTGCATCGAGATTTGACGGAGGCAACTATATGAAAGAGTGCCTCAGGACAAATCGGTGTGTAAATGTCTAACTCATGCCGTAGCAGTTCCTTGAATGCGGCAGTATTGAGTTTTGTGCAGGTAAAGGTGTTTTGGCTAGTAGCGAATTTGGAGATTTTGTTATGCTTGTCTTTAAATGATAGGAAAATTTGCTTGTGGTCGGATAAATCTGTGTCATTTATACACAGATTGAATGAAAAGTCAAAAATATTGCTCAAAATGTGGTCAATTGTTGATGAATCAATTCGGCGGGTTCTCAAACCAGAACTTTGGAAATCATTCACACGTGTTGCAAATTTTGGTTCAGGGTTATTAAGAAGCGAGTAACCGTGTGATGTGATGGCCGATAAATAGTCAATTGATGTAGGGGTTTGTAGTTGAATGTTGATGTTTGTATCTCCGACGAGAATGATTCGAGAGCTCAGTGAGAAAATGTAAGTCAATGTGTCCAAATAGTGCTCTAGTCTTGTAGTGGGGCGTTTTTAAACAACCGCAATTGAGGCTCTTAAGAGAGGAATTCTAATGAGAATGAAATTTATGCCATGCCGACAATCACTTACAATCAGAGAGCTATCGATCGATTCATGAACAAAAAGTGCCACTCCCCCATGACCGTCATTTCGTGTGCTATGGTAAACGTCATAACATGGAAGATTGTAAAAATCAGTTTCGTGCTCATATAGTTTGGTTTCTGCCATTGCAATAAAATGTACAGTCTTACCAGAGACATTATTAATCTCTTCTTCAACACTGAACAGCTTGTCCCTAATTGAGAATATGTTCCAGTAAAGTAAATTGAAATCATCAAATTTGAGTTTGTTAAGTGAGTACGTGACAGTAGGAGAATCGATATTCAATGTTTCATTCATTCTGGCTTCTGCTATGAGTGTGAAGAAAGAGAAAGAGAAAAAAAAAATAGAGATTAGAACAATAAACAATCAAAATTAATCAAAAATCAAGAAAGAAGAGTGCAAAAGGGAAAATGCTTTGATACAACTATTACTCAGTGTTACTTTCGGTAGAAATTTTTAAATGCTGGATTTGGAGACGGGTCAACCAATTTCCCAGCTGAAGTGTTTCTGTTGGCGGCTTTGTATGGCTTGTTGAAGTGATTGCTGTGCTGTCGGCGATTGGAGCCACCAACTCCACCAGGTTGTGTTTTTAGTTGCTTCGGGTGTTGTTCAGGCTGGGCCACAGATGCGTCTCTCGGCGATGAAATTTTCCTCTTTTGTGTTTGGTTGTGTTGAGTTGGTTGATGGTCGTGTGCTCTATTTGGTTGACGATTATTGCGAGGAATTTTGAGTGAATGTGTATTAAAATTGGTGTTGGGTCTTTTTTCGAGCGGTGTGAGCGAATTTTTGGGTTGTTCGTTTTCAATTACGGTAACTTCTGGGCTTGTTTCGATATTATTATGACTTGCTTGTGAGTTTACAGCTTGATTTTGGCTCGTCTCGTTGATGTCTTCCGACGGAGAGCTGTAAAGCAGCAGGTGTAGCTCGTATTCAGTATTGATTGTTTGCATTGGATCATTTTCGGTTTTTCTAATGCGGATTTTACCACCAACTGATGACACTGAGAACAACAGACCGTCTTTTTTGCACGGTCATTTACATAACGCAATTGGGGCTGAAGAGGCAATCACAAGCATACAACACCATGCATACAATCCATACACAAATTCATTCAACAACAACGATGAGATCCGCATAGTGATCCAACATCAAGATCTCTATGTATTGCCGCATGAAAGTTACATCTACATTGAAGGAAGAGTTTTGGTAGATACAGCAGCTGCTGACGCTGAAGCGGCAGCAAGGGAAGTACCAAATTTCGTAAATAATGCAGCCGGTTTTCTGTTTGATGAAATACGCTACGAACTCAATGGATTCCCGATTGATTGTTGCAAAAATGTTGGTATCACATCAACACTCAAAGGGTACGCATCATATAAACCATCCAGCATGAATCGATTACATATGGCCGGATGGAAGAAAGAATCAAACCAACCAGGCAGCGCTGGATATATAAATTTCTGTATACCACTAAAAAGCATTTTCGGATTTGCCGAAGACTACCGCAACATCATAATGAATGCAAAACATGAGTTGATTTTGTTGCGCAGTCGATCTGACATCAATTGTTTTGTTGTTGCCAATAATCTTTCCACAATCCAAATTGATAAGATTCAGTGGCGCATTCCGCACATCAACGTAGCAGACGCAGCCAAGATAAAACTGCTCAAAGTGCTTGATCGACAGCAACCGATTCTCCTACACTTTCGCACATGGGAGCTCTTCGAATATCCAGTACTACCAACCATAAATAATCACATTTGGAGTGTGAAAGCTAGTTCATCATTGAATACACCCAGATACATAATGGTGGCATTCTAGGGGGTAGACACAACATTTAAAACTTGAATCTTTTTAGATCTTTTCAAATCTGTAGGAATCTCAAATCTCGAGCAAATTTAAATACTTTTGAATCTCTATGTATCCTTATGAATCTTCTCAAATCAAAATGGCTGACTTGTCAAAAAGGTCAAACAAATCAGTAAGATTTTTACAAATCTTTTCAAGTCCCTTCAAATCTCAATGAATCTTCACGAATCTGAACACCTCTACACAAAATCAATTAAGTATTTTGAAAAACGAACGTATCTCAGATCTTGTGTCTATCCCCTAGGTGGCATTCCAAACGAACCGCAACAACCGTATTGAGGCCGATAAGAGTCGCTATGATCACTGTGCTCTGAGCTATTTAAAGACAATTTAAATCGATTTATTGTCAAAGAATTTGCATTAATAACAACAAATATCAAGTTTCACGACATCATCAAGTCACCAGCTTGGGTAACCTTGGATAAAGAACATCGAAAACAAACAAAATGGCTAACGGAAAATTACCATGGACTCGATTGGGATAGTGGAAATATTAGTTTAACAGAGCTGCGCAAAATAATTCAACCGCTTTTATTCAAGAAAATTGTTTACCTCAAAGGCAAAGAGAAAATCGAATGGTTCCGCCATATTTTGGGATATGACAGAGCAAACGGCGTAAAAACAAAAATATGTGAAAGTATCAACATGGAAACAATGGAGTGTATGATAAATCTACACAAAAAAGACACAAGCACACCGAATAAGTATCACGCATGCAGAAATCATCGATATTTGAAGAATAAAAAAAATCCGAAATGTCACTGCGCAATGGAAAATGTTCTGATTTCAAATGATTGGTATATTCAAAAACAAAAGCAAAAGTAATTGTATACATTGGTTGTAAATAAAAAAAACCACACGGTCTAAAAACCGAAGTTTGCACGAAATCGTTTTTTTGTCTACAAGAAAATATTGTGAAATACCCAATGAATATTTCCGCAGTATTTCTGTGAGTATATATAGGAGTCAAAGCCCATACATTTCTTTAGATTGAATTCAGACTTGAAAGTAAAAACATCAGTCTCCACAATTTTGAAAACCAAAGCGAAAAACAAGTGTTTGTGCAAATGCAAGGAATACGCAAATTTCAGATTTATTTAAAATTGTCGACCAGCGACTGAGTATCACGAAAACTGCCCCTATCAACCAAATGTGTTCATACTCAAACTTGATTAAACCATTGATTCAACAATCGTCTTCACGCAACAACCTAGGCAACAACTTTAAATCATCACTCAAAAAACTTCCTGATAATGTCTTCAGGCTAAAGTCATTAGCTATGACCTACAGCACGCATTTTTTTCCTAACCAAATGTGATTTATATACTTTGGCATTTTCGGTATCTTATTAGTGGTCTTATTACTTATTAGTCTAATAAGATGAACCTATATTATTACTCATTACTTTTTTGCACTAGTAATATATCTAGTGAGTATAGTTATTAGAATGTTATTGGTCGAACGAGTAATAAGATCTACAGATTTACCGGCATTACTTTTGCAAAAAATTGTTCGGGCCATAATAACAGCAATTGTTATATATTTCATGATATTATAGTTCAATGTTTCTCAGTTTTTGATGCAAAATCGATTGATAGTTTCAGTTTGCTTTTGCGATGAGCGGTTTTGAAAATTTTACTAAATTTAATTTAAAGTAACATGTTACTGTAACACATTACTTTTAAACATTACTTTGGAGAATTTTTTAAAATTAAAAAAAAAATACAAACCATTAGAAGTAAAAACTAGAGTTATCATTTGATTCGTGACAAAAAATGAAACACAATCCATATATTCAAAGTTGTATATGGATATATTTATTTGTATATATTTGTTGAAAATATTCCGTTGCAATTGTAATGCCGGTAAATCTGTAATAAGATGCATGGTATCTTATTTATATAGTTATTAGATGAAATATATTTGAGTAATAGGGGTGATCAATTCTTAAGAAAAAATGGATTCAAAATTTAATAGTCCGAGATCGATAGATCATGAGGAGAGATGAAAATTTTGTTCTGGCACTTTTTTGATATATAGTGTCTGGTGTCACCCCGGCCTTTTTTTAGAAAATCACCTAAAAAATGACCATTTTTCGACATATTATCGCAATTTGCTCTAAATATGATGCATAAACATACCGTTTTTTGCCGTAATTCGGCAGCTCGTAACAAACTACGTTGAATAGGATCGATTCACAGCGATTTATTCCAGGATATTCAAAAAAAATAGTGCCAATTTGCCCAAAATTGTCGAAAATGGTATATTTGCCCATTTATGGTGATCCAGTCCACTATAAATCAATCTGAAAATACCTCTATCCAACTCAGTTTGTTCCTATCTATCGATATAACGCCACATCAAAACTCAAAATGTGCCTCTGGACATGGATAGAGCAACAAATATTCGAAAATCACCTCAAATTTGGCCATTTTTTTCAATTATGTCGCTTAAAAAGCCAAATTATAGCCGGAATACTTACGAAAATGTGTCTATATCCACCCAATTTTAGACGAGGGATCGATTTCTAGTTTCATTTGTTACAAGGTTGTGTGATTTTTGTGTCAAAAAGTACGATTTTCTGGGACCAAATTGTGCAAATCACCCCATTGAGCAAACAATTTCTGCCTTTGCTACCTTTGAACATCTAATATGATCCCTCACGAACATTTTAAGTACCTACATGACCAAGTCGAGTGATGTTTTCATATATTTCTAGCCGCATATTCGGTTGGTTCGATTTCAACTCTCAGAAAATCGATTTTTGGCCAGAAAATCCTTAAGTATAGGCCTTTTAGGGTGGGTGTCTTTGTTCAAAGTTATTTTTCCTCGAAAATATGGGGAGTCTTACCAGACAAAAACTCTGAAAATTGGCTTTTTGATGTACCTCCCGAACAAAAGTTACGTTTTTCATGCATTTTGCTATGAAAACATCATTTTTTGTTCGGGAGGTACCTCAAAAATCATTCTTAAGAGCTTCTGTTTGAGTAGATTCCCAATTTTTTTCGAAAAAAAAATAACTTTTTGCTAAGACATCTATCCAAAAAGTGTATTTCTAGGGTACCTCCCGAACAAAAAATGATATTTTCATAGCAAAATGCATGAAAAACGATTTTGGTCGATTGGGCGAACGGGTTGTCCGATTTGCATGTGCTATACATCGTTGGAAAGGTCTTGGTTGTCGGAAGTCCGTAGGGGTATTTTTGGGAGCATCTTGGTCCATCATGGTCATGTTAACACGACTTAATACCATTTTCACACATGAATAGTCAATATGGGTATCATATGAAAGGCCTTGGAACGGAGATGATCATGAACACCATCTCGGTTCATAATGGTCATATTAACACGACTCAACACTATTTTCCCATATGAATAGTCAATATGGGTATCATATGAAAGGCCTTGGAACGGAGATGATCATGGACATCATCTCGGTCCATCATGGTCATGTTAAAACGACTCAACACTATTTTCTCATATGAATAGTCAATATGAGTATCATATGAAAGGCCTTGGAACGGA